TTTCTTTTTTCTTTTTTTCTTCTTTTTTCTTTTTTTTTTCTTTTTTCTTTTTTTCTTTTTTTTTCTTTTTTTTTCTTTCTTTATGTGTGAATCTTTTTGTTGTTATTATTATTAAATAATAAAAAAAAAAACTACTACAACAACAGTAATAATGATAATGGTATAATAATATTCCTCAACAAATTAAGGTTTGATTTAATTAAGGAGAATTATTTTATATTCCCCTAGGATTATTTTTTCTACATAATTTTTTTGGAGTACATAAAAAAGGTTAATGCATTAATCTATATAGAAGTTACAAAAACATGTTTACTTTATTATCTTTTTTCTAATTAAAACCTTAAACAACTCACTAATCAATGAATATTTAATTTATAAATATAATTGCCCATTTCTTTTAAATAAAAAACTATTTGAATTTTTCACATTTTTCTGAATCTAATAACTTTTCCAAAAAGGTAACTAAAACTAATCATGTTTTTAATTATATTATATAATAGTTACTAAAGCTAACCAATTATAATTCAAAATAGATGATATATAGAAGTTTAGTAAACATAAAATTATATTTCGCTCTTAAACATTTTTTTAATCAGCTAATTGATTTTAGTGGTATAACCAAACCTCTTAAAAGTTAATAGTAGTAGTAGTTGTAATAATAATAATAATAATAATAATAATAATAATAATAATAATAATAATAATAATAATAATAATAATAATAATAGTAATAATTTATAAGATAATTAATAGGCCGGGATCTCTCAAACTTATAAAAACTACATTATCCATTTCATTTTATGCAATCAATATAGTGATGAAATTTAATACTTTTATAATGTTCATCTTTACTAATGACAATTTTTAAAATGTGATACTATAATCTAACTTATAATTTTAAATTATATGCATACATATAAATTATAATAATTTAAAAAAATTGTGCATATACATAATACACATGATCGAATACTAATTATTATTGACGGTAGACCGATTAACCGAAGGACTTACACTTAGCAAAGTTGTTGCCAAATGTTTCTAGGAAAAATTATTAAAAAAAATGGCAAGACTAAGATTAGAGCAATTATAAATTACTAGTACTATACGTGTGTTTTCTAAAATATTAAATATACATCATGGATTGAAATAAAAAGAAATGTTTATATATTTTGTTGATGTTGAAAATAATAAATAAGAAACAATATATAACAATGTATAATAAATAACTAAGTGAATTAATGATATTATTATAATATGTTTATTACAAGGCTATTTCATATCATACACCTATACAAATTATTTTGATTTGCATTCACGCTCTAGATAAAAATAAAAAAAAAAATTATATTGTTTATATTTGTTCTTGCAAATATTCGATATTATAAATAAATGGATAGTTAACTATTTCTTTATAAAACAAAATTCTTGAGAAATCATCAACTAGCTCTGATACGGATGGCTACGGTTTTGTAGCTGCATCCACTCTATGCTCCATAGATAACCGCACATATAACATGAAAGTTGAGACTATAAATTTTTAATTTATAATTATGTAGTATACTAAAATAATTGATAGACAATCTATATGAACTCATTTTACAATTTATTTTTTTAATAATAATTATGTATTCCGACTTTAAAAAATAAAATCATGGCTTCTCTCGACACAATCAAAGGAAAATGATGCACTACTTTGTAATCATGTATTTAATTATTTATCAACGGTGTTGATTACTTTTGATATATTTGTGATTAGGATCTGTCCTTATATAACATGTGTACAAATATTAAATAATTTTCTAGTACTAACTACACATATAGATGCCGAAAACATAAAATCTCTTTTTAGAGTGTTTGTATCCCATTGTAAAGACAAATGATTCATATCATTTGAATAAAAATACAAATTTATATTATCTAAATATTATAATTTTATTCATGTTGCTTTAAAAGCATGTCATTTTCAAATAGACATATAACGGGACCATAGCATCTCCCAGGGAAATGCTACCATCCCGTTACGGTACCATCCCGTCGGGTGTTTTAACCGTTGGATCATCGATCTTATCTAACTACACGTAGATCTAACGGTTAAAACAACCGACGGGATGGTATCGGGACCATAGCATCTCCCATATATATAAGTCTATTAGTCAAACCAACCGAACAAAAAGGCCAACCGAAGTACAAAATTCCTTTGACTTTTTTCCTTGTATGTATGAAAAAAAAAAAAAAACTACTTGAATAATTGCAAATATGGACTTCTTTTCTAAATTTTTTTTATTCTTCTTATCAAAGACCCAAGATAAGATGCATGTTTGAGCATTGAATCATGAAACTCACTCGTCAATTAATTTAATTAAAGAAAAAAAACACCCAATAATCACGCAATCAATCTTGATAAAAAAACAATCTTAAAAAAATAAAAAGGAATTATTTGACTGCAAACGTCGCATTTGCATGAGCAATTCCTTGACTTCCACATATTAATCAAATCAATTTAATACGTAAATCGAATCATCGTACATGGAGAAAATCATTGTTGGAAGACTCATCCACTACAAGTGTGCGACACGATCGACCAACCAATTAGGTATAACTCTGAATACTAACTACCAAAAAAATATATAATAATATATACATATACATATATATATATATATATATATATATATATATATAATTACTTGCTGATGAATTTAATAAAATATTTAATACTTATTTTCATTTTCATCCAAAATGAGTTATATTTTTTTTAATAATTACTCACTAATATGCTAAAATTATTACACTTTAATATATATATATATTTTTATTATTTATTTTTTGGATCAGTTACTAAATTAATTTTAAATTTGGTAGCAAAATATTTAATTGTGTAACGGCTAATGTTGGAACTTAAAGTTGATTGACACATTCAGAGTTGTAACCGTTATATTTGGTTGTATTGTTGAAAAAAAAATAAGATTAGCACATATTTGTTTTTTCTAAAAATTAGAAACACCAATAATTTTTTTATGTTATTTTTCTTAATATATGCCACAAAATATATAAATTATTTTATTCATTTTACTAACGTAAACGTTGCATGGTGAAAATAAAATTTAAATCTCAATTAATTTTGAATTATAAAAATAACTTAAGAAAAAGTAATAAATTTTATACGATAGAAATACATGTCTAATTGATAAATACAAACAAAAACGTGTTTTATATATATGCAAAATGCACAGTATCAAATACTAGTAATAATACATAATCCATTATTTTTTTGAACCGACGCGCGGGTCCGGCAGTGGGCCCCACGCGCCCGAGTATATTCAACCGCTTTTGTTCCCATTTGGTGCATTTTTTGTTTCAGTCTCTTGAGTGTGCGAGCAGAGTTTCGAGAGGAAAAAGAACAAAAAAAAAAATGTTGGGTCTTAGGTGTGGCGTCGGGCTGGCGGCTCTTGTGTTTGCGGCAGCCGTGCTGCAGGAGGCGGCGGCGGTGCGGTACACGGTGGGCAACAATGGGCTCGGTGGCTGGACCATTGAAGCCGGGAACTTTTCGAACTGGACTATTGACAAGCATTTCTACAGAGGAGATTGGCTCTGTATGTTGTTATCTGTTTCCTGTATATCTCAGTATTTGCTTGCCTGATTTATCCCCAAGTAAAGATTTTGTATTCTCCACATTGTAAAGTTCTGGTTTCTATTTTCCTGCATAACTATTAAACCATGAGTCTCTCAGGAGACAGAGATCCAATTTGCTATGAATGAAATCTTGCGCTGGTTCGAATTTCGAAGTGCTCGTCGACATTTTTTTCCCGGTTTCAATACGGGTAGTGATTCGAACTACTACTTGTTTGTTAGTTTAATTTCCAAAAAGAGCTGTTTCGCGCCTTTTGTTCGAGTACTATTGATCTTTATATGGAGATGGAGTTGTGTGATTATTGTTCATTTATTCACATTTGGCACTATTGAAGACCCCTCTCTGAGTGCCGATGAGTTTTCGGATTTTAAGCACATAAAACTACAAAATTGCGCGGATAAAATTATCGATCTTGCATCGAATAATCATCTGACAAAATGAATGTCTTTCGCAGATTTTGTGTCGAATAGGAACCTATACCAAGTGCTCGAGGTCAACAGCACCACGTACAATACCTGCCGATTTGACCAGCCGCTCGGAAACTTTACGGGTGGGGCCGGAAGGGATGTGATGGAACTCAACGAGACTCGGGAGTACTATTTTATCAGCAGCGAGTGGCAATGTCTTGGGGGCATGAAACTTATGGTCCATGTCGAGAACCCGCCACCTCCGCCTTCGAGCCAGCCCTCTGGAAGTGGGTCCCACTCGAGCCTCGTTTCGGATTTCCGGGCCCGGGCTTTGGTTCCGGCCCTTTTCGCGGCCGCTGCTTTTTGGGACTCGGTGCTTCTACTCTTGTAGACGATGTTTTTAGTCGAATCAATTGTGAAAAGGGAAAAACACAAATTGAGTTTTTGTGGTTCACTGATTTTGTTAGATTTTCTCTCTCTGTTTTTTTTTATTGAGATCGAAATTGGTTGGTTTGTGAGAGATGGTTCGGGTGAATTCGTATACGTCCACACTAGATTTTGAGCCGTTAAATCAACACAACCACAAGGGTTGAATCTTTCTTTTGAGTATGATAGACCGATCATTTTGAGTCGGTGAATCAACACAACCGCAAGGGTTGAATCTTTCTTTTGAGTGTGATAGACCGATAGTTTCAAAGAGCTGTTAATTAAACGAGTCGCTCGTGAGTTCGGAGAGTCGAGCTTGAGCTCATTTGAAGCTCATTTAGTTATCGATCCTGGTTCAGCTCGACTTGATAAGGCTCGAAAAGATGATTTATGTATTTTTTTATAATTCGGCTCGAGTTCAACTCGTTAATATTGATAAACGAACCGAACTTGAGCTTGATTATAAGATCGCTAATTAAGTTGCCCGAGCTCAAGCAGCATGAACTCGAGCTCGACTCGACTCGGCTCGTTTATACCCGTAAGTTCAAGCTTCTCTATTGAAATCTTGATTGGTTATTTGGTTTAGTACTTAGAATTGGAATTAAAATAGTGTGGTCCTTTTCAAATCTTTGAATTTGGTGTTTTGCATGTCGGGGAGTTTCGACTGTATAGATGAGATCCCCACATGAAATGTCAAACAATACTATGACATTCTCTATTTTCCAAAAAAAAAAAAAAAAAAAAAA